CAAGCACCCCACATGTGAGAGGCAAGGGGACTCACAAAAATCAAGCACCTCGAAGGGAACAGAGAACTACCACGTCCACGTCGTTGTTCCTGGGTAGCGCTAAGAGTAGTTCATCAATGACTTTGATGGTCCATAACTCGGACCCCAGTGGGCGGATTGTGGACCACAACCAGTGTTTCGTAAAGGGCTTGAAACCAGCTTTCTCATCCCATGATGAAAAGCTAGGGGTTCCATTTAAAAAAACCATCGTGACCCCTGAATGACCTTCAAAATGACCTTCCAAGGATTTTTCAAGGTCAGTACCATACTTCCCCCGTGTAACCCTAAACTTTTCATACGAAACATTTTTCTCTATCCCTACTAGTTTTCGAGATATTTGACTGGATCACTTCAGATGGTCCACCCTGTATATATATATATTTAAAATATATCCGTTAATAAATCAAACTAATCAAGACTTCTTACAAATCAAAGAATTGGAAAGAGTAAGGGCTCTAGGAGTCGGGCGCAGAAGACGTCGCGCAAATAATACACTTATAAAGAATGAAACTTCTGTATTCACTAAACGCTCTTACATGTTTCGACTCATTTTTTAGCCTTCTTCAGAGAAAACACACACTAACATATATAAAGTAAAAGTTATCCTGTCATGGTGAGCTCCCCTACATCGAGAATTTAAATGCCAGAATTAAATAAAAATAAAGAAAAGAAAATGAAAAAGAAGGGAAATATTAAAAATGTGAAATTAAAGAATATAGAAACTAATTTATCAAAAAACTTTAATAATATAATTAATTATCCGAAAATAGGGACGCTCACCACGATTACAAAGTACCGTATCGCAAACATTATCATGAATAATTCAAAAACCGGTTCCTGATATGTTGGCCAGTCGGTATCAGACACAGTGAGTCACTTTTTAGTTATTAGATAGTACTAATGAAAATTGTGAAGTGATAAAAAATCTCGTCAGAAGGACTTATTACTATGTACGAGCGACACCGACTGACAAGACGTCATAACAACTCGATTTATAGTTTATCTATTACAGTTTATCTATAATCGGGAGGTAGGCCTTCGGAAGCAACCACGTCCGGGATCCGTGACCCCCACGATCCGATATCTGGGGCTAACCCTGGACGGCCGTTGGCAGTTCGGCGCGCACTTTGCGGCGCTGGCCCCCAGAGTGGGCGCGATGGCGGGCTCGATCGCCCGCCTGATGCCCAATTTGGGTGGTCCGGGTGGCTCCGTGCGTCGTATGTACGCGGGCGCCGTCATGTCCCGCGTGATGTATGGCGCCCCGATTTGGGCGGGGGAAGCGGAGAAAAGGGGCAGCGTGCGAAGGGCGCTGTACAGCGCAAGCTTCTCCTCCGCCTCGCGCGCGCGTACAGGACGGTGTCTCTCGCGGCGGCCGCGGCCCTCGCGGGCGTGCTCCCGGCCGATCTTGCGGCCGGTGTGAGCAAGCGCTCGTACGACCGAGTACGAGCGCTAAGGGGCAGGGGAACCGCCCCTGCCCCC